TTTTTTGTTTTTTCTTTTTGGGTCTCTGATCGAGTGACTTTTTCTACCCTGTCTTCTAATTTGCTGATCCAGTCCTCAGCTTCCTCTAATCTGCTGTTTATTCCTTCCAATGTATTCTTTATTTCTGCTATTTCATTCTTCATTTCCTTCATAGTTTTCATATCTTTTTTCATGCTGTTGATCATCCTTACATCAGTATTCTGAACTCTGTATCTGATAGATTGCTTATCTCCATTTCATTTAGCTCTTCTTCTGGAGACTTCTCTTTTTCTTTCATTTGGGGCTTGTTTTTTGGTCTCCCCATATTGGCTGCCTGTTTGGGTTTCTATGTATTAGGTAGGTCTGCTAGGACTCTGTCTTTTTGAAAGGTCTCTGGTGCAGGCCAATGTCAGATGCTGTTTGTGACTGATCTTGTGTGCCCTGCTTGGAGCTATCAACAACCCTCAGCTTGAGGTCTCCTCTGCTGGGGCTGGGTGTGTTTGGACAGGAACAAGATGCACACCAAAGCCTGCTTTTCCAAGGCCAGGGTCCAGAGGCAGATCAGGCAAAGACTCAAAGCACTCTGAGGTCTGCCTCTGCCTGGGGGCTAATTAATCTGATTCTCTTAATGAGCCTCAGGCTATAGAAACTCCACAGGGTGGGGCAGCTGGTTGTTATCAGTCTCCTAAGGAGCCTCAGGCTGTAGAAATTCCTCTGGGTAAGTAAGGCAAGAGGTTTTCCAGCAGGATAGGTTAATTGCTTACCCCCCACCCCCCAGGCAAAAGCAGCCAATTGTCTGCCTGAGAAAGATGTCCTGTGCAGTCTGGGGGAATGACTAGGCACAGGAATCCAGAGGGGTCCCTTCTGATCTCAATCGCCAGAGCCCACAACCCCAGATTCTCCCCACACAGCTCCAGTCCACTCTGTCTTCCCTCTGCTGGAGCCCAAGGTGAGTGGCTGCACAGGAAACTTTGTGCATTGGCTCTTTAAGAGGGTGCCTGCATTTCCAGTCATCTCTCCCTGGCAGACAGAAACCCTGCTGCTTTTCACAGCCAGTTCTTATGTGGGCACCTTTCTCAGTTCTGGTGCTCTTGGCTGGGAAGCCCAGCGTGGGGTTTAGGCCCCAGAGTCCTCAGTGGGAACCCCCACAGCTGAGATCTCCCTCCCGACCTTTAGCTGCTGCCTGTGGGAGCCCAGCCAGCCCTCTCACGCCTCCGCACTTCCAACCAGTTTCTATATGGTCTCCACTTGNTGCCTGTGGGAGCCCAGCCAGCCCTCTCACGCCTCCACACTTCCTACCAGTTTCTATATGGTCTCCACTTGTCCTTCTTGGTTATGAGTGCTCTCCAGCTCGTCTTCAGTTGCAGTTGATTATTGAGGATGGTTTTTCTATGTTTCAGTTGTAATTCCAGTTCGGTCCTGGGAGAGTGTCCGTGTAGCTTCCACTCAGTGCACCAGTCCACCGCCATCTTCAATCTCCTCACCTGATTTTTGAAATAATCCCCCTAAGTCTCTGTTTCCCTAGACCAGTGTTGTCCAGTGGGAATAAAACATGAGTCACAGTGAGTCACACATGTCGTTTTAAATTTGGTCACAACCATGTTTTTAAAAGTGGAAATAAAAAGGAGAGAATCAATTTAAAAATAAACTTCACTTTATATAACATGTCATCCAAAATAGTATCCTTTCTACATGTAATCAATAGAATAAACTATTAAATAGATATTTAACTTTTTTTACATTTTGGTCTGCCATGTAGCTTACAGCTACAGTGCATCTGAAATTGGGCTGGCCACTTTTCAGTGCTCACTAGTTACACTTGGCCGGTGGCTCCTGTTTTGGACAGCAAGCGTGTGGTCACTCAGTGACTTAAGAATTGGGACAAGGTCTTATTCATTTGTCTCCCCAGTGCCTGCCAAAGTGCTCAGCACACAGAAAATGGCCAGTGCATGCCAAGCTATACTGAATGGACAAGCTAGAGAAGGAGAGAGGGGAGATGAATGCATCTCTCTTAGGGTGAGTGTAGGTCAGGGAAAGCTTGAAGGAAGGTGATGCCTGAGCAGGTTCTGAAGAGGAGGGTAGTAAGAGGAGGTAACGTGTGAACTGGGCCCAGGAAGCTGGACGAGATGTCAACAATCCAGACACAACCGCATTCCATGCAGAAAAAAAGAGGCTGAGGAGAGGAAAGCTTGGAAGGAAAATTGGTAAGAATAAATCATGGAGGCAGCGGGAATGGCCTGGGTAGGACATGTGGAGAGACAGCATTGCAAAAACAGACAGAAGGCTGCCCGTGGAGAACGCTGGCAATGGAACTGTGTTCTAGAGGCAGTCACGGAGGGATCTGAGGCAGAGGAGTTAACCTGTGGGTCAGGACTGTGCCCACTGCCCGAGATAACCACTGTCCTTCTGAAAGTAAATTGTTTTTTCTCTTCAACTGAAAAACCTGCCAGCATTCTGAAGAAATTTCAGTTATCTTAGATATTGGGCTTTTGTCCTCAGAAAGTATTGATAGTGTTTGTTCTCTGACTATCCTATCCTATCATACAATTGAATAGTTGACAGAGATCAAATAATGGTGGTTAACCCTTTCCTTGTGCTCACTGTGGGCCTGGCAAGAGTCAGGTACTTCATGTAATTAATTTAATCTGTATGAGGTACGTGCAGTTTGTATCCCCGATTTTACACCTGGAGAAACTGAAGGGTAGAGAGGTTCACGTGTTCATGCAGCTGCTTCAAGTCTAGGCACTGCTTTTACTACTACTCCAGATGGTTTTTTAAAAACATTTTTAAATCAATAAAAATGTCTGTATTGATATTAGAGAGAGGAAAGGAGAGGGAGAGAGAGACAATCTTAAGAGAAAAGTAGCACCTACTCAGTGGAGTTATTAAGAAGAATAAATTAATTAATACATGTAAAGTCCCTGTATCAGAGACCAGTGTGTTGTAGTGATCAAAAATCGTCTGGAGAGCTTGGCCAGTGTGGCTCAGCAGTTGAGCATCATCGACCTAGGATCCAGGAGATCGTAG